ACACTTATCATTCCTTCAGTACTACTATACGTTCACGTAATGAGTTCTTCCACAGGAAGCAACGAACCATTGAACATGAACGAGCCACTGCCAGTTCTTGGTTCATCTCCACTTTTTCCAATTTATATTTCGTCAGATGAGGAGGAAGTTAACCCTCGTATTTGGAGGGGAGCCATTTCCCTTGTTCCTTTTCCCCACTTAGAAGTTGTTTCCAACGAGGGTGCGCAATCACCGAATGGAGTCCTCAATGAGGATTTCGAGCTGGATGCCGGATACGAGGGGGATTCCGAAGATGAGGACGACTGGATGGCGTACGATCCCCCAAATGCGGTAATTATCATCTCTTCCGACGAGTCAGGTGAGGATAGCGGGGACGGTGGTTCAGTTGTGGACGACGACTAAAGTGACACCCATGGAATGTAGTGAATAAGTACTGTATAGTAAGGTATTTTGTAGGGATGACTTTAGTTAAGACAATACCAAAAAGTCTACGTGAACATGTCCCTAAGATGCAATTCGTGTCATGTTTTTTGAGTTTTCCAGTCGGACTGTCGAGAATTACTGAGACTATCTGTCGGGTACGACATGTCAACTATCGGGCAGTAAGGATGATATGTACAAAAATGGTTATCTATTTTGCAGTATGTAAAACGGCTATTGTGAAAGGTGTGTATCATGGACTAACTTTAATCCATGATTTACGATGACGCAAATGATTGTACATTTCTTAGGGATTCAAGATTGCATTTTGCACTACCTTTAATTTCGATTTAAGATGATGCTAATGATAGTAAATCTGTAGGGGGATAGAAGATTGCGTTTCGAAATGGAAAAAAAAATATATGTGCAGTATCAAACATTTTCCGTTCTCGTGTTTAGAGGTCACAACATGTATGTGTGACGCAGACCGTGAGTGCAGTGCAAGATTCCGTCAACTGTCGAGAATAAGTAACACATCTATCGGGACCGACATTTGAACTGGGCGGGATGTTTACTACGTGCTGGACAGAGAGTGAAATTTTTATGTGCACAACAGAATGCGCAACATGCAAGAACATTAATGATCACAAACTGTAAATCATAACTTCATAATGTTCGATGTAGTACGGAATAATTAACATACAACGTCTATTAACCTGCAAATCTTTAAGGAGCATGTGATACACGGGGATTTGAACACATGGTCTGATTATGACCAACTCTACCACAGTGGGTACATTTTCTGGTAGACCATGCATACTCATACCTAGAACGCTTACGGCGGGTTGGTGGTCTACCTGGAGGATGACGTACGAGTGGTGGGAAAATAGGAGTACATGTAATTAAGCTCGGAACAACCCAATCCACTTCCCTCGGAACAGGATATATAGTTTCGTTGTACGCACCCTTCCAGTAGTCTGATGAATAATAACGGGAGCAAAGCTCGTACAACGTCTTCCCTCTAAAGCAAGCAGCACGACTTGCATGAACACATGGCATACGGTTTAGTTGGAATTCACGACATGTGCAGGTTTCTTCGGACAAGTCAACTATGTCCGTGTCGTTGGATATTCAAACCTGCGTCAAGTTGTTTGTTAGGACATGGGCTCGAAGCCTAATTCCATTTTCAAAAGTCGTCCGTAGCTCGTTCTCCATCCTTGGTGTCAATAAGGTACTGCATTCTTCTACATTTGCTCGACGTTCGTAAATCAACTTCTGCATAGTACTCCAAATGTGTTCAACCAAGCAAGTTATCGGTAACGACCCGGCTTCTCTCAACATCGAGTTCAACGACTCTGCATTGTTGTTTGTCATAATATTGTAACGGTGTCCAATAAATAGTGCTCTGGACCAAAATGAATATCCCGCTCGCTCTAAGTACCTGTGCGCTCTTTCGCTCACTCTACGAATCTGTCCCATGAGTCGTTCGAAGTCCTCGACCCGAAAAGTTGTAGCAGCTCGTTTGAATAGAAATAATAGGCTTGCGTTGTTATACCGGTGTATTAGGTTCTTTTCCATATGCCATATACAACAACCATGCCGAGACGACGGAAACAACTGAGAAATAGCTTTCTGAATACTCTTTTTCCTGTCTGAAACGAACACGAGTTCTTCGGAATCCCCTATAAGGTCTTTCAAGTTTGACAAAAACCACTTCCACGATTTATTGGTTTCAGCATCTACGATCCCCCATGCCAACGGATAAATCTGTTTGTTACCATCTTGGGCAGTTGCCACTAGGAGTCTACCTTTGTATGGACCTTTCAAGTGACTGTCATCAACACAAATAACGGGTCTCAAGTACTGCATGTATCCACGAATGCTTGCACCAAAAGCTACGAAGAAGTAACGAAACCTATTACAAGAATCAACTTCGATGTGGGTAACGGTCCCCGGGTTACTTTCTCCTACGACGTGACAGTACGAAGATAATTTCTGAAAACTGTCCCTTGGTGTACCATGTAGCATATTTAAGGCATGGAGCTTCCCCCTACGTGCTTTGCTATAACTAATTTTTACACCAAACTCACGTTCCATATCACGTGCAATATGAGTAGGTGATTATGATCGGTATGGAGTATCCAATTTTCCCAAAATGTGCTCCGCAATTACAGCACTAGTGGCATGCCGATGTGCGTTACGACGAAAATCAAGGGAACATGTGTAAATTGCAACGAACTTACGGATCATGAAGATTGCAGATTGCTTGACAGTAGAAGCACGTAGCATCCACTTGCAATTATCATCCACACAGACAACTGTTAACATTTTCAAGCTTGACCTGCTTACCCGGGATTGGAACTTCTCTTGCAAAGCAAGTACATGAAGCTTCGAGTACAACTGTTTCTTGGTAAAGAATATTTTGCTTCTCGGCGAGAACCGATGTATTTGCAGCTGTAATCCACTCATCTGTGCACGAACGTCTGGAATTTGATGACATTGTCTCGTCTATTTCATCAATAATAGCACGATCTGTACCATGTAATGGGTTCTCTAAGTTTCGACCGATGCTGCAGCCTCTATATGCTCAATTGGAGGTTCGGGTGGTTCGGTTTGCGACACACTGTGCTGATGATTCATCTCGTCATGTTGTACATTCAGTGGACATTCCGTTGGGCCGAACAAGTTCCCTTCACAGTTTGCGTCTGTTGCCATACCAACAATCGGGAGCTCGGATACCAAATATGTGATGCAGAGTGCAGTTTCCTTATGAACAGATACGTACCACTGTAGATCCTCATCGTCGCGTATCTCTGCCGGAGGTAGATTCAAGTTCGGGACTTTGAACTTCAATTGGATTGCATTGCGGGATTCAACGATACCAAGTTTCTCCTTCAATCATAACACAAGTTCTGTTACGGTAATACTTCTTGACACTAAAATGGAAGTGGTTTTGTCTCCTCTCCACTTCCATTCATCATCTGAGTGAACGAAGTTTCCTCTATGCGACACGATGAATCTGAAATCATGACTCATACCTGAAATATTGGGACTGCAAAAGTGAGAATTCTGCACATTCATATGTCGACATTTCATAACATCAAATTGGCACGCGAAAATACTTACATCCATGTACTACCAAAGATATAAAAGATTATCAGTTTTCAGGTGTCGAAATCGACAATTACATTTTCTATCCCGACAATCAGTAAATGTCGAGTTCGACAGTTAAAATGTCTAACCCAACAGTTTCCAAGATACTGCTCGACAGTTCTACTGCCATAACTTTCGAGAAAGATAAATTCCATGTGCTTCACTGTTTGACAAATTTATTGAAAACGGTAAAGGCCATAATAAATTCTGAACTACAATATCACTGTATCTTTTTAGAAATGAACAAGGTATCACTTAATGCTTCATTAAATGTTGAATTATATATGGAATACTTCACATTTTCTATATAATATTGGTATAATTTTTCTTTCTAAAATATACCAAAAATTAACTACATCAATGAATAAGAGATTGAAAGGGTTCATTTAAATATGATCATATTGTATTGAACATTTAAAGTAGTCAACTATGACATGAAATGAACTTTTTTCTACTACCTCACTTTTCAAATTTGTCAATGGCTTTCCTTGTTTCCTTGTTGATGATGGAGTGGAGATGATGAAGAAGAAGCTCTTTCAATTCATATGTGTGTGTGTATTTTGTAAAGATTTCACCCCTTTTTTAATCAAAAAAAATCTTATTATACAATATAATATCATATCTTCAATATTAAATTTAAACCAAAAATAAATTAATCACATCATAACATTAATTGCATTCAAATCAAGCATTTATTGCTCCAAAAAGGTGTTAAAGGGTAAAGTGGACATTTTGTAGGGAAAAATTGACATTCTTGGAAGAAATTGGTGAATGTCCAAATTTTTTTTGCATTTTCAATTTTAGTGGCATTTGTGTAAATTCCCCTTAATTAATATATGAAAAATAAAATTCTTGTGCCCAGACACAAAAAGAAAAATCTCTACAGTTATTTTTGAGTTTTTGAAGAACACTGGAAAAGGCCAAAAAGTTTGAAGGAGAACTAAGAAAATCAAACAAGGAGGCTTGAAGGTGGAATCAGGGAGATCAAAGATCAAAAGGATTTTTTTAAAGCACGCTACAAGGGTAACTTTTAAAACACTTATATGTTAACTATAGTCCATTTTATTTAATTTTTGTTGATATACAATTTAATACAATCCGTTGTATTCTTCCAACACATTTTACGTTTAGTTTTGTGTTTTGATTTTAACAATTTCCATGAGTTCTCTACCTTATGGTGTGTAAAAAAGTTATGCACTCTTCTAACAAGAATCAGACTTTCCAACAAACCCGTCTTTCGTATTTTGTCGTGCTCTTCAGTGTGATTTTACAAGTGCAGGGCTATATATAAGAGAAGGGTAGTCTTCCTTGCGAAATTGAAATTTAAAATATTGTATCAATGGATTTAGAATCCATTACATGAATCCTTTCTTGTCCCTTTCTTGTATTCGATCACCCCTTTACTTCAGTATGGATATAATCAAGAAGAAGAAAAGTCGAGTCAGCAATTATTTTAACTTTTTGATAGAATTATTTTGGTGTAGATACAGAGTTACTTTGTTCACACGAGGGAGAAGAATGAAAGAAGAGTACAATGGCTGATATATCATCTATAGCTATTCCCCTTCTCTTTTTCTTCCATGCACGGACAGCACACTCTACCAGATGCTTAGCCGATTTTCCCCTGTCCGGAGTTGTCGATACTATTTGTAGGGCTTCTTGGTTCGATACAACGTCCCACACCTTCACACGAAAGAATAGTTTATTATTGATAAAGTATTCGACTATATAGCTAAAAAATGTAAATAGTAAAGTCAGGCAGCTAAAGCAATCCAGATTGGTTAACAAGGTATACATACCCCATCTGTTGCCAGCACGACAAACTGATCTTTACTCGTTATATGTCTCTGTGTCACTTCAGGGACGGAAATAAGTCCAAAATTCTTAACACAATAGTCCCCAAACGCTCTAGACATTGCTAGTCCAGGAGATTCTTCGTCTGGCAACCACACTCTATGAACCCCGGGCTCATCATCCAGACAGAATACCCGGCCATTGCACTGAGTTATCCGCTCAGCCTCCTCTGTTCATATATTTAGCAGAGTCGTATAATGGTTAGACATTGGAATAGACACAGAGAGAGTTAGGGAGACGGAGAGAGACTCACGAGGCAGATTAGGCTTGAAGTCGACAGTAAGCTGAACCGGTACCAAGTTTCCACCATCAGAAGTGGTGGCCAATACAGCACGAGAGTCACCAACATTTGCTATGAAAATAAGCTCACCCTGGAAGAACATCATGATTTAGGACGAAATGCAAAATATGCTGATCTTGATGCAATTGTATAAACTGGAAATACTAGCGAATGTGCCAGCTTATAATTAGTATACTAATACTGAAAATATGCAGAGAAAGACGATAATCAGAGAAATCTGGCCGTCCTTATTAATTCCTTTACGCGAGACTATAATGATAGGAAATTCTACCCAACCACATGAGAATCAAAGGCAACTTTCATGTAAAGAAGCTTTACACTAAATTAGTGGGCTAAAGTATTGAAATACTTGTGCATGTACAGGAATGGTTAGAGATTGTAACGAATTATAATTAAGGGTCTGTTTGACAGGGCTTTGCTTCTTGTAGAAAAGGTTCCAGTGAAAACTACCTCATGTCAACTTCCTTTAAAAACCTTTTTAGTTAAACAAAGTACTTTTAGATTATCCCTCCAAGTTCAAAACCACTTTCTTTTAGTCTCATAAACAGATTTTGACTTTTCAAAAGTTCTGTCAGATGGGCTCCAAGTACATTTGATGCCTTGGATCTTACATGCTATATTTCCATCTAATCTACATGTGTCTAGATCCTCGAAACTGAAAATCAAATTTCTTCACTTGCAGAATGCAGATAAGCATCCGGGATAGCAACCATTCAATCATCAGCTCGTAAACTGGTCAACTCTCTCTTTGATGACCACTTAACTAAACTCTTTGCTCCTACCAAAGGCACATTCCATATTCCATTAAAGGCATTTAACTTCAGACTTATTCACTTTGGCAAATGCCGTGATGTTCTTACATTTGACAGTGCCTAAATTTTGTAATGCACCAGCGAATACAGTGTGCTTCGTGTTGTTCCCTATGAACTTAAGATTTCTAGCATGAAAAAAATGCAACTACACGAACAATGACCTTGACAACTCGTTTGCAGTACATAGTCGATACTGCAACTACTCGTCCATGGATTCGCTAATCATAATGTAAAGCGAAAAAATAAGCAACTTTTATCACCTGCTTAACAATTGTCAAAGCAGTGGTTCCGCTGTAGAATGAATCAATTTTCCGGTGGTGTTCCAAATCCTGATCTACAGCAGCACACGTCTTCAAGTAGGAATGCTTCCATATATTGAATTTATGAAGCTTTTTATCTGATTCCATATCGAAATCTGGATCAAGTGAAGCTTCAACAAGCGTTTCTTGCCAGTTACAAAGAAGAGACGATGGCAACGACTCTCTAACTCTCTTCGCCACAAAATGTCCCCACGGACCGTGTCCATCAAATATCCCGCAGAATATCATCTCTTCTTGGCATCCAAAATCCTACAACAGTAAATTAAACAACCTATTTATCACAAAGAAACCTCAAAGAAAGCCACATTTTCGTAGTTAAATATACCTCCCAAACGATGCAGCAATCTTGATTCACACCTTTCTGCCCTCTCTTTGAGAAAACAGAAGCAAAATTTTTCGACCCGATGACGTTGATAATGCCTGACGATCTTAGTATCAGGTCATTCTTTTTTGCATTTTTTATCATAGATTCAACAGTCTCTTTAGCATCAGAATTTCCACAATTGTTCTTCAAGCTCTTCATTTTCTTGGTCGAAAGGGTCCTTGCTAATCCATTGAACATCGACGATAAATGCCCCATTGGCACAATTCTTTATCTGCAAAGATTCAAATCATACTCAAATCACACAGATAGGCATATAATCTATATGTAGACATGATCACATCAATCTTGTACAGAATTTGGAAATTACACAGATCAAAATTTAAAGCCCAGAATACTCTTTATTGTATTTGCTTAAAATAAGCAACTTATGCCAAAACAATCAAGAAACAGGACAGAATTATCTGTAATGTATCACAAATGTAAGAAAATAATGAACTAGACACCATAATTTCCTTTTTCTTGATTTCCTTCTTTTTACAGCAAAAGCAAAATGAACTGAACTTGCAAGAACACTAAAAATTTTGATCAAAGAAACAAATCCAATATCTCAAACAGATTGAAAAGGAGAAAGACCTTAAATTTTTGAGGCGAAAAGTGAAGAGAAAGTAGAGGTGCCACTAAGCCGGAAACTTATAAGGCCGAGGGAATATTGACTTTGTTTGCCGTAAAACGATGGGATTCCGACGGGAAGAGCTGAGATAACGAGACATTGATGCATAATAATCCACAATTCGGTCCTTTTTAATGTGTGTGGAGAAGAAAACAAAGAGCCTTTTTGGCTTTGGCACACACGGATAATCAATACATACAAAGAGTTGCGCGTAAAATACCATATACTTGTGGTGTTCATTTCGTTAGTTCTTCTAATAAATTGTAGTTTTATGTTAAACCCTACGTTATGGCATGAAAATGACATATATAACCGTAGATTACATTTCACTACTTACGATAGATTTGTTGTACTGCCCGATGTTGTCTAGATGTACTTAAAATGACAATTATACCCATCTAGTCAAGACTTTCAACAAATTTCAAAAATAGTTGTGGAGTATCGAATAAGGGCCGTTTGGCAAACCTTCCAACAAGTCAAAATTTGCTTTTGAGACTAAAAGGTAAAATCTATTTGAATGAATTTGTAGAAGTGTTTTGTTTGGCTAGAAGAGTTTTGAGAAAAATATGATTTAGATACTTCTTCAAAAAACCCTCTATAAGAAGTCAAAGGAGAAACAAAGCCAGAAATTTTGTAGAAACTCTTATACAAGAAAGCAGAAATACTATCGAACGAGCCTTAAATTAAACCAGATAATTTCTTTTGTTGAGCTTTATAAATAAGTATTGATAAATTATTAGAAGTACAATCTCAACGATTTTAAAATTATTCGGGAAACAAATAATGGCAACATCTATATATTTTGTTGGAACGTCCTTTATTTCTAAAGATCATTTAATTCTATTGTATCTTTCTGGCTGTGAATTGAACTGCAGAAAAGGATTCATGTAACTTTAACTCTTAACTTTACCATTTTATGTTTAATTTTTTTATTATTAATTTCCAGAATAATAGGAAACTATGATTATAGTTTTTGCTTAGAATCTTATTATCTCGTGGCTAACAAGCATAATGAGGTTGATTTCTTTATATTTTCTCATTTTATAATAAATAATTTAGTAAAGCATAGTCAAAAAGCTTCTTATTCATAACTATTAATAGAAAATGAATAATAAATCGTCTCAACTAATAAATAATTAAGGTGATTAAGATTTGTATTTTAAATTCCAATAAAATAGATTGTGTTTTTTCTCCAATAAGTGATGCAGGAACAGTTGACATTTCTTATTTTGAAAAAATGAATGGATGAACATGCTTGGCCAAATAAAAATATTAGATTGATTTAAAAATGTAAGATATTTTTATACATTACATATACAAGATTGATAAGATTTGGTTCCTCAACTTTTTTTATTTTTACTCTCTCCTGCCCCCAACCTTTCATTTATGTGTATATCGTCCTTCATTACGATTTTTATCTATTTTGTCGTTAATGCGATGTAAAGGTTAACTTAAAATATAAAGAAACAAAATAAAAAAATAACCCAAAAAAAAAAAAGGAAAAGAGAGGAACTAAGTGGGAAAAAAATTAAAATAAAAAAAGTCTATTTTTTCACAAGAGTAATATTCTTCGTAATTGCTCACACGGCAGTCATCCTACGTAACATACACATAACAAGTGATTATTTGATACATTAATGCGATAACTTTTTATTAACTCATAAATCAAATAATCATTGCCATGTGTATGTCACATAGAGTAACTGTTATAACGAGGGCCTACAAATAGTATTATTCTTTCCACAAACCTCAATCCCACCTACCCGACACCACCACACAGCGGCAATGGCTAGCCGTGACCTCCCATACCCCGAAAATCGCTGCCTAGACTTTCATCTCTCCCAAAATTTCCACAATTTGCAGTACCCTAAACACCCACAACCCACGCTACCAACCTCCTCTCCCCTCTCGCTATTGAAAAATCTAGAAATATTCACTACTATTGACGATGTAACTCATAGAAAATTCATTTTCCCTAATTTTCAACCATGTTTGTTGGCAAACCAAGGGGAGAAATCCTCCCTAGATTGCGGATTTCGCCCAATTGGTTCACTTTGAAGAGAGCCAACTTCAGAAGAATCGAAATCAAAAAATTCCAAAGTGAAATTCCAAGGTCAGGGACGGGAGAGAGGATAAAAATTGAATGGAATGAAATTGCCACAACTTTAAAAGGTTGGGATCCGAAGTGAAATTTTACCCTATTTAATATTATCATGTACGTAGCTTCAAATATATTATATTGGGTATATTAACGTCGTCATATTTTTAATCTTTTTTATCACACATAATGTGTTAACTATGTCAATTAATTTATAGGAATCAAATATTGTATATTGAAATTCAAAGACAGGTCACAGGTGGCAGAGCTACGAGAATTTCTCGCTGAACCTGTATAAACTGACCTTATTGAACATTTAAATTAATCCTCTTATTATAGCTATACAATGACTCGTTATTACTAAAAAATTTAATTATTGAATTTCAACCCCATACTCGCATCTGCAAGTTAGGTAGGTTGGTCGTAGTCGTACCCTATTTTCTTGGCATTTTACGGTAGCATGTGTAGGTAAAATATTTCGTCTTAAGCTCAAGGACCAAGGCATGTCCAATTATAGTACTTGTTCGGTAAAAATTATCTATTTTGCTTTATTTGCTCGGTCGGGCCTTCAAGCTCCTCAATGCGACTATTTTGAGTTCAATATGTTCGCTAGCACGATCCTTACAAATAACTAACTACATATAATTCTAATAATGAATTATCATGTCATGTTAGGTCGATTGACCTGTAACCATATACAAGTGGTAGTTAAGTATATTGAATGTATCAATAACTTTTTAAGTTATGAAACATGAAATATAAGTCAATCATTAGTGCGGAGAAAAAAGAAAAAACAAATCCCACCATCAAATGTTCATGATAATTGGAATTTCTAAAAGTTCCCATTTAGTTACTTAATTTCAACAAGAAGAATCATGAGTCGACTCGGTGGGAATGCTTTAGTATAGAGTACATCATGCTATATAATTGAAAATACGGTTAGTCTTTTGGTTATTAATAGCTTTAACCAACCCACTTCCCCATTGAAAAACAAAAAGAAGACGTAGAAACAAACCCACTCCCAATTGATTTCTTATCAAAGTGGGATAATAAAACAAAATCAAGTTGAGGGCATGAATATGGTCCAAGAATAAGGGCTCGTTTGAAAGGATTTTTGGGAAAAAGGAAAAAGGTTATTTTTAAGGATACGAAATTATTTTGAACATGTTTTGATAATATTCTGAAAGTACTTTGTTTGAGTAAAAGTACTTTTAAAAATAGTTAATTTAACGTATCTCAATCAGGAAGCTCTTCTAAAAGAAGCAGAAGCAGAAGTAAAAACAAAAACTCTATCAAACTAATCCTAAATTTCACTAAAAACGAACTTTAAGAAACACATAATTCTTTGTGTTCAATTCACAAAATAACACTTGTAGATTTTCGTAAAGTACTCGTTATTGGAAAGGAAAAAATAGGGATGCTATATCTTCAATCGGTAACACCTTTTTCACCTCTTATTCCAATTTTTGCACTAATAAAATTCCACATTCACTACTGGATTGGGAAATGCGGGTGAGATTGAAAATTGGAGTTAAAATAACGGTAACAAAGAGATACGATTTTATACAAAATCAATGAATTATGATTTTAATGGGCCACTGAATGCTTAAAGTGAATGTTTCTATGATTATTTTCTTTGTTGGATAAATGTTGCATATCATTGTGGGTCCAAAGCTATTTTTGATCATACATTTGGTACCACCCTAAGAACATTCTACCTTGTCACACCAATTATTTTTAGTAATACTATGAAATAATTAATTATTTGTACCGAATAAAATTTTAACGGTTCCATCGAACTGTAGTATGGAATCATTTCAGAGATCTCAATTGGAGCGATTATATAGTCATGAATATATAACTCTTAAATTTAATAATTCTATATATCGCTTCAATGTTTTAAGTTCAAATCTCGACCAACAAACTTGTGAAATTGTATACAATTTTTAAAAGAAAAATTATCAAAGGATTTGAATAAGTTGAAGAATAATATTATTCAGCCCTTGTTTGTCAATCATTTTTTCACATTCTACCACATTATTTTTTCTACAATACTCACTTTCAATCACACATTTTTCATTAAAATAATATTACACATAAATAAAAAACTTTTCCTTCCTTTTTAACCGCGCATTTCAACGTCAATCACTATTCTATACTTCAATTTTTGAAATTAACGGGCCACAAACAGGACCTCATAATCATTATCTATAATAGTCATCCTATATGACAACATATTATTTGAGACATTAATTTTTGCAGCTTTAATGCCTCATATAACAAATTGTTATCGCAATTGATGATTTATAAATAGCATTGCTATATATTGGAGCCGTAGATTCGAAGTAAAATCTAACTGCGCTAACAAGTGGCAACGTGGAATGCAGATAGTGCTGTCGGTGCAAAAAGCGCCGAATAAATTCTTTTACTGAATCGATTCTTATCGAATGAGAAGAAGACACGTAGTAGATGAACAATCACACATGGGGCGGCGCAGTGGAAAACGACTTGCAGAGTCTCCGTGATTAAATTTTCCTGCTTTGTTAGGTCATGGGTGATGGCGCATGGGATTGAAACTCTGGTCCACTGCACCAGTAAAATTGACATATTCGTTGAACAAAATCATGGACACCTAAAAATTCTATGCACGGAACCAAAACGGTACCAAAAAGTGTATATAGATAAGAGGAGATTTTGTGAGGAAGGGAACGGGCGGTGTGGGATCCTATTTTTGTCCTTTTTAATTATTTATATCTTTAGCAATATTAATATTTTATCTCTCAAACAATGGTTGTACGTGCATTTTAAGGACAATATGTATCGAAATCATCTATTGAGAATCGAGTACCAAAATTTCAAATTTTAGAGATTATAATAATGTTTGGCAGTACACACTTTAACGTTTTAATATGTCATTTCAAGATAAGATATTTATCTATTAAAAGAGTTGAAATTATCATCAAGACAAAACACATAACTCATGTTTGGTCCATATTTTTTTAACTCATTTCAACTATATTTTTTATCAGATAGATAACTTTTATTAATTTTTCAAATATATACTTTATTATCTTTTATCTACTAAAATCTATTTTTTAATCAAACCAAAACTAAACAGGGTATAGATGTGAGATTTGATTTTAGTAT